TGTAATTTTAAAAACTCACCTGCCCACTCAATCGATCGCCTGATCGACCACACCGCGGCAGGCGATTCCATTAGCCCCAACTGTCAGCCCCATCAAACCCTTAAAAAGTGTATTGTTACAGGACCATCAGCCAGTAGACGACAACTTGACAGCAAGGAACTGGAGGTAGTTGATCAATTCACTTACCTTGGCAGCTGCATCAGCAACGATGGGCTCAGAGGTATTGAAGTCAGTTCGCGCATTGCTAAAGCTAGAACTGCCTTCTTAAATCTGCAATGTGACGTCAGAAAGGCGTTTCCCACTGACTAAAAGGCCGCGTTTCCAAGGCCACGGTGAGGGCCATCCTATTCCACAAGAGTAAAAATTGGCCCCTTCGGTCTGACGCGCTTTCAAGTCTTTGGTCCTCTCTGCCTGCAATGCACTGCTGGTGTGGAATGGCATCAGCGTGTCAGTAACGATGATGTGCGTTTGCGATCCTCCTCTGTCCACGGCCACTTAATTCAGTGATTTATCACTACGTTCGCCTTTGGACCCATTGCTCCACTGGGATATTTCTTGGTCTTCTAAAGAAGCACTACTAAATGTTAGGTAGGGCACTCGCGCAATTATCTCGGTGTAGCGGAATTTCCAAGCCGACCTTTGTCGAGATTCTCGTGTCCACTCATATAAATTTATGTGTAAGGCTTGCTTCGAGAATACTCACTGATACAAGTCACTCTCTTCATGGTGCACTGTCTGAGTGTGTATGTACAGCTTCAATCAGACAGATGTATAGACCCATTTTTGCCCGCACAAGGACTTATCACTAATCCGTTATTCCATATCTGGCAGGTTTTTCGTGCGATCAGACATCAGTTGTCCTGGAGCTTAAAAACAACTTCGCATCGTAATCATACTGCTGTTTATGTCACTTATCAGTCTAGTTGTGTATTTACTGCTTTATTTCTTTTGTTATGCTGAAAGCGTGTGTGTAACAGCTGAATATGCATCCTAACGGATGCATAAAGCACTTTTTCGAGTTGAACTGAATGAAGTGAAATCATTACACATGTTAGCTAGAGGTGGGAAACCCATCAGCTACTGTGCCGCAATACATAAAAGAAAAAAAGGAAAATATGCAATAGATGCATGTCAGCTGAACTACCAGTAACCGATGGGCATCGTTCCGGAGAGCTACCAGCGGGCTACTATGCTACGATGATGATTACTGACTGAAAGCAGCAAGAGAAAATATCTCAGTGCAACTACATCTAATATCACTCGTGTATAAAGCCCCGTTAGGTTGGAATGAGCTCGATATATTTTAAATTGACAAAGTATTTGTTCAAGAATTTCTGGAATTCCGACACCGAAGTTGCCTCAACTACGTGCTGCGGCAGGTGGTTCCATACATTCATCACTCTGTTCGAAACAGAGTTGGTGGGCGACCCACTTCAAATCCGGTACTACAAGTTAGTGTCGGTGTCTTCGTGTGCTGCAGATGCAGCAGCGGTCTCGACATAGGGTATTCACCGAGAGGTAGTATCTGGTGGGTCATGATGAGGTCAAACTATAATCGACGATAAGATAGGGTGTAAAGCATTAGTCTCTTAAATTGGTCTTCGTACGGTACACCTCGTAAGTTGGGAATCAGCCTTGTGACTACATGCTGCACTCGCTCAATCTTTTCTATTTCGCCCCGGGTGATAGGACAATACACTGGAGAGCCGTACTCTAGCATCAGTCATACTATTGAGACGAAAATGCGAATGGCAATCTCTCCGGACCCAGTGCTGAAGCCGCGTTTGAGCGACCAAAGCATACCAAGGCCGTTTTGGTAAAACCTATTCGGGTTGTCCATGGACTTTAGGTTGCAGCGTGAGAGTACACCGAAATCTCTCACGAAAATCCCGAGATGCAACGGTTGACTGGCCACAGTGTAGTTCGACTGTGCCCAGGATCATGAATGGCGACTTGAGTGGGTTGATGGGAAGGTTGATCTATAGAGACCACATGGAGAGGTGGTCGAGGTCCTGCTGAAACAGGTCACATTCACTGCGTGCGTGGATTACTCTCCACACCTTCAAGTCATTTGCAAACAACGCACAAGGCGAACGGGGAAACTGAGGAACATCATTTATATGTATGATGATGATGATGAGAATTATGATGTGTCAGATATTTCACTGTATCTAAAGTGCACCTGGAGCTGCGATATGCAAACTGATGAACGTCATTCAAATGCGTCTGGGCTGAAATTCTTTTAAGAATAATCATCTCAAAGGTCTCAAAAGCAACCGACGTGCAGACGATCGGAGGATATTTGCAGCTTCCTTTCTTTGGCACCAAGGTGATACCTGCACTTCGCCAACTGTAAGCTATATTGTGTTGTTAGAAGCACAATGTATACAAGTCGGCGAAAGGCTGTGCCAGATAATCTGCACGTTCCTTGAAAACGACAGGAGACAAATTACCCGGATCAGGTGCTTTGTTCATTTGCAACGCGACTATTTCCCTATGCTGTTCACAGAAGGTAGGTTATCTGAGAGTAGTTGCAAAGAAGTAGGTACTATCCTGGTCAGAAAAAAGGACGTTGTTCTTCAACACGCAGAGCTGAATGAGTGACTTTGCGGGTGACTCCGCTTAACCGCTCCAGAAATTTCCATATTTCGCGATAATTATTGTTCACAAGTATGGTTTGAACGTAGATATGGTTGAGGATACGTAATCTAAAGTTTATGGAAATCGATAAGACTTTGAGTTCAAAAGCATTTCTTTTAAGCCTTTGCAACTGTTTGTGACGTTGAGACGAATACATCGGCACGGATGAAAATTAGTAAAATTGGACACCAGACGTCGAAGCAGAAGTTTAAGTAATTGAACACGATCCATCTATACGTTCGCATCCTAAAATAAACTATCATCTGTGGGGTTAGTGGTTCCACGTAGTTGCTGAATGTTCTGGGGAAGACATTGCCTCCAAATGTACTTTCGATCGTTATGGTTCGTCTCGTCTTAACAGAAGACAACTTTACGTTGGAATGATTAGAGCTACCAAGCGGCGCCCCATTACAAAGAGAAAACCCTTTCAGGTTGTTAAAAAACACCATGTCAAAGATTGCCACCAACCTGGTTAGAGTATGCACGATATTCTTTAGCTCGAGAATCGCAATAATTATGGCGTCAGTTTCAGGAAACTGTCTGAAAGCCAACAAAAACGAAGGTTCATATAACCCTCACAGCTCAACGAAAAGCTATATTTTTACACTTACCATATAAGGGAGGAATCGGTGCTGAAATCCTAACTCGCCGCCTTTCTCATGCACACAGACACTTTCCCGATAGATAAAATGCAAGTCCAGTTCGCCAGTATGAAAATGGTACGAACTAGCCCCAAAGACAAGAGGCCAGTTCACGCCAAATAAATGTGCATTTATTCTTTCTCTTGTTCCGGTGGAGTAGGTTACATCAGTCGAACGGAAGGCGCCTGTCTGACAGGGAGACGAAACACTATCCGGCCTGGCTCATGACTGGTTATCGAGACCGTAAGAGCTCAGCCATAGCCACGCACTTCGTCGACACTGGCCACGCCACCAATTTGACTGAGCCATTCAAAATGATCTATCAGGCACCGGATAATCGATGAACTTGCGTCCGTAGGCGTCAACTTGAATCCGCTGATGCCATCGCGATTCGGCTGTACGAGCCGCAATTGTGTGATCATTAACGGCTCGCTCAAACTGCCTTAGCCCACTCGAACCGTGACGTCTGGCCCACGGAGCTGCGTGAACGCCGCAGCTGCGACCTAACGGACAACGATTATTCTTGATCAGCGATCAAGAACTGAAGGTAATTTATCATCTCTAACGTTGTGTCTACCAATTTGTATTCTTTCGCACAGAACAAACCAGAAGAAAAACTAGTAAAAACAGATGTCCGCTTACATCGACTTTCAATCGTTCAATGGGATTTTTTAATAATGCGCAACTATGCTTAGAATCCCTCTGTGGAAATCGCTCAGCAGGTATGTGAGCTTCCGGACCAGAAAAGCGAAGACGGATACATATCCTAGTTTCGTGGGAAACTGTACCGGTAACTCCATCTACCCAGTGAGTTATTGGAAATATAGATGTTCGCCAATAAAAGCAAACGACAACCGTTCAGGAGTCTTCGTTTGCATTATACGATTAGACAGCTGATGCGCTGGGAGCTGTGGCGAAAATCGCTTTTAATGGGCGAGGCCCATGAATAATTAATGTGAATGATAACGTCACCATCGCCGTTAATCTGCGTAGATTAACGGTCAACATGATAAGAGCCAAATCCGTCGAGCTCTACGAGTGCATCTTCAACATCGACGTGAAGCCAGGTTTGTTGCAGCATAATGATGCCAAGGCCCATGCATCACGTTGCATGCAACAGGTAAAGAAACAGATGGTGTCGTGAGGATGTGGAGAAATCGGAAGAAATAATGAGGATGAAACACAGGAGAAAACCACTGTCCTGCATACAAAATTCGATTAGCTCATGGGTAAGTACAGCAAGCCAGTCAACGGAGTTAAGACATACATACGATAAAGATGGTTGCGTCTGACTAGAATCCACTAGAAAGTAGCTCTAATAGCTTATGGTGAGTGGGAACATCAGCACGTCAGCCGTTTGAAAGAATATAGAATGTTTTCATAATTCGAGTATTAATTGTCTCCGATACGACGAATTAGACGCTGATCAGACGACAATGGGCTAATTTGGATCAGATAACTCAAGGCTATGAGCTCGATGATAGACGTTATTAATAACAGTGTGATGAACGAATAAAGGCAAACATTCGAGATTTACGGCCAAAAATTGAAAGAACTGAAAATAACAGCTTAGCAAGGACGATCGAATGGCGATATGATACGCACAGCAAGTCAAATAAAAATAAGCTCAAGTTGTCATGTGTAGCGGGGAGAATAGTTGGGAGTACTAAAAACGGCTGAAACAATGTATGGATTAGCGAAAGAGAGGCATGCACTCACCTTGTGATATGGCTTTACCGGAAAATTTGACGGATAAATCGGGGGATATAGATTGCTCTACAAGATCATCGTTTAGAATGGCTGGGTTTTTTGCACAGCCTGGCTTTGTTTGACATGATGCAGAAGTTATAGACCCAATGGAAACTGGTAGTGGCTGGGGTTGAAAATCATCAAATTGATTAGGCTGTGCCAAGATGGATGGATCAGCGAACGGATTAAAGGAATCTCCATCCATTGAGCCTCAAGCTCGAACGAAATAATGAGTGGAATGGAGCTGAAAGCATATGAGAGGAGCAAACTGATTTGCATTTCGGTATATAAGGCGAATCAATTTGATAATGTAACTTGGAACCCGATCAAACGGGCTACGTTATTTACCAAAGGTAATAAATCGGTGTATGGTGCCTTCGAACAAGGTTGAGTGAAAATATAATTAAAGAAGTAAGACACGACAGTACCTAAAACAGAGACCAAAGATGGTAGCTAAAAATGAGGGATATTGACCAGAACGGATAAGGGTTTAATAAGCAAATACAAAAGCTCTAGTTAGGGATGCAACAAAATTCCGATGAAGATTTTAGCTACTCATGCCACTGATCCGGGCTCAAACATTAAGTAAGAAAGTAGGTACCGATGAAATCCACTCAGCACTATTCGTCGTCATTGAATGGCAACAATGAGACCGCATGTACTTAGGTGAAAGAATAGGAAACGGTACACTGCGATATAAGGCATAAGTGTGAAATAATGGAAGTAACGATCAATGCATAACAAGCTGTTCAGCGTAATGTCCGGGAATTTGCTGCCTGATAGCAGTGAAGAATAGAGAGAGAAAGAGAAGCGTCAGCAGTACGCCAATACGCAGTACCGATGTTTCACTGCCGCGCAACCATCGCCAGTCGCGCATGGGATAAAGATACCGCAAGGGTCGCCCGATCCCCTACGCAGGCTCGAATCCACGAGCCCACCTCAAGATTATAAGGCAGCCTTGTGATCCCTAAGGCCACGGGCCGGCGTGGGTTTGATGTAGTGAAAGTCGACAAGTCGATTCACATGGTGAAAGGGGGGCGATCATGTCACCGATCAATACGGCAACACTAATCATACTGAAACCCTGTGCGTCTCGTATTTGACCGATAGTTAGACGTTAGGTATTCACTAAATGGGGTTGTCGGTTGGGGAAAACAGTAAATTATTATTCAGTTCACCGTCACGGAAGGCACAGCCGCATACCATGATAAAGAGGAAAAGCATATACACATTGTCAGTAGATTCATAGTATTGCGGTTCAGAAGTGTGTGCGCTTCTGATGCACATTAATCAATGACGCAAAAGAGTGTGAAGTGACAGCTAGTGTCGCTTGCAGACCGTATTGGCAGTGAGAACTATGAAAGACTAGAAAGATGACCTAGGAACCGATTGGCATGCCAGGAGCGGTCTTTTCCTAGTTAAACTCGGATGAAGAGAAATGAAGCGGGGAAAGAGAAAAGGGAAAAGAAACACGGATGACGAAGTTTGTAACCAGAAAGCTCGGTTTACGGCTGTCCAGTGCAAAAAAGACGCATGTTCGAGGTATCAATCAAAAGGTTTGACGCAAAAGTCTGGTTGATTGGACAGCAGGACAAAAGGTTTGCTCGCAAAACATCACGGAAGCCTTCAGCTTAACAGAATGATTACAAGGTAGTGCCGATTATAAGACATAGACATAACCAAAATTTGGTTTAGCTGTACCCACGAACGTCGCGGATTTTTGGATCACCATGCGCTGGATACTACTTTGTTTCGGATCACTGTGTTATCAGGGTTTTTCTGTGTGTATTGTGCACCAATATTCTTCCTTCGGCGTATTTTCCAATCGGTGCAAAGTTGGTGGCTATGCTTTGGCCAATTCCGGAGATCTCATGGATCTGCCCTACTGCCATCTCTGTCCGCCATCTTGGGTTTGCTACACCTTGTGATGCCGTGTCCAGCTACTTGAGGTTCGTGTCCGAAAGTCGTGGGATATAAGTCTCATGCACTTCGGTGCTTCGGCTGCGATGTTTTGTTCCATATTTCGTGCATTGGCATATCCGTCGACGTGTTTCGAAAATCTCTCGACATCCGACATCGGGTTTTTCAAGTTATATGTGATAAATGTTGCGGTGCAAGACATCAGAATACTCAGCGACCACCAAGAATTAGGGGAAAGTCTCTCTTCCAGACACTAACAAACCATTCACACGTGGGGTCAAATGCCAACGTGAAAGTACCTCTGTCTCCTCGCCTTCTCTTGTCACTCCGCGATCTGCACCACCACCAGCGTCCTCGACCCCGGCCGAGCCTCAGGTTCAATGTTCCCCACCGATGGAAGACTCAGACTCAGAACCTACAAAATGCCGCTTCACTGATCGGTCCGTGAATTTCTCAGAGACTGTCTGTGAACTTCTGAACACCTAGGATCCATGGACCACTTAAAAGTGCAAGGTGCCACGTAATCGAGTTCAGGCGTCCCCTGTTGATAAACGAGCCAATCAGATAAGCGCCTCTAGTTCTGCTCCAACAGGTTCACCACCGATTTCGCTGAGAAGTCATAATTTCATACTTCCACGTACCAGAGCCAAATAATGAAAACCCTCAGATACGTTATGATCACGATGTTGAGTTCCATCAGGGGCTTATCGATAGACTCTTGAATGTGGGCGAAGAGAGTGTGACGATTAGACAAGTAATCCGACTTGGGCAAAAAACTAACCAGTCATGTCGACCTCTGAGAATCCCCTTTGCAAATCGAAATATGCCGCAGCTCATACTGTATCGTCTGTCAAGGCTGAAAGGCATAAAATTTCACGTCCACCGAGACTTGGAACCCGAAGACAGGGATGGTATGAAGACTACGGTCATTGAGGTAAAACGTAGTACAGAAGAAGGTGAGACTGACATACAACTTGTAAATTTTCGGGCGATCAAGAAGGGTATTCGAACCCGTATAAACCGGTTGCTCAACCTCCAGGCACGATCCGCAGTACCTCCCAGGACCTCCGTGTGGCATTCGCCAACGTGTGCAGCCTACTGAACAAACGTGACGAACTGTTCCGCTTCGCTGTCTCAGGGCGACCAGAGGTTTTAGGACTTGCAGAGACTTGACTGAAGTCCGACGTCATACCCAAGAAGTCGCGTTGTCAGGATACTCTTGTTTCTGATGCGACCGAAAATCAAAGGCTCACGGCGGTTTTCTGCTGTACATAAAATCGTCACTATCTGGCAAACTTATCAGCACCTATCGGAGCGAGGATAATTTATGCGAGCAATTGTGGTGTACAGCCAGCCTCAGACGCGCAGAACTAATAATGGGTGTTATCTACCGTAGCCAAGTAAACCGTTGTTGCGATTGGCTACCACATATAAGGAAGCACATTAGCCGCCCTCAGTTCTGACTGATGGGGGATCTAAATTTACCTAAGATATTCTGGCCAGACGTTCGGCTTCTTCCTAGTCATGGCGACGTTGAGGGTCAATTCGCTAAAATGACTACTGAAAATGGGGCAACTCAGCATATCATTCAAACGACGCGCGTAACTCCGTGCTCGGCATCTTGTCTGGACCTAGCGTTTACGAGCTGCGAGCAGAAGCTGAACGAAATCCGAGTCCTTGAAGCTCTGACGAACAGTGACCACTGCTCCATTGTGGCAAGCATAGAACTGCCGTTACCGTAGTACAACCAACGGAAGCCGACATCTAACTATTGGAAGACGGACTTCAACGGCTCGTCCAATCCGCAAGTCAAACTGACTGGACACTGCCACATGATGCGTCACTTGAGGCCTGTTGGTTAATAATGTAGGGGAAGCTCAACTCGCTCTGTACTCGGTCCGTTCCCCTTAAGTATTCAAAAATCGGACCTGTCAAACCGCATTGGTTTGATACGGAATATAGACAGTTAGCGCGACGGCGTCACGAACTTTGGGACAGATGATACATCAGCTAGGGTTGTGATGAAGATTACATGGTATACAGCGAAATTATGTAACGCCGCAAAGATCAAGAAATGCCGGCAATTCAAAGAGGAGCTAGTATCCTCGGCCATAACTGTACCCAAAAGAATAGATGCCTACTTGATACGTCAACTGAAACCTGTGGGTGACCTACTGGTCTTAGAGAGCTTGGACAGAGAGACGCACATTTTAAGTGTGGAGCGCGCGGACGCCTCGGCTACGTACTTTATCACCGTATTTTTCAAGTAAACCGGCGTCCGTTCCAGTACCCGCAAAGGTTGCGCCAGTCTTGCTCGACAGCCTGTAATGTGACGCAGTCGAAGTGTATCAGCTACTCGCCAACCTCGATGGTGCAAAGCCCCCCGGACCAGACCGACTTCACCCACTAATACTCAAGTCCCTATCGAATGTCATCTCACCAGCCGTGACAAATCTATACAATAAATCACTCTCTGAAGGATCTGTCACCAACAACTGGAAATGTTCGATAGTGAGACCGCTTCCCAAGGGTGGTGATCCGAGTAAAATAGAGAACTATAGACCGATCTGTTTGACTTCGATCTTATCCAAAGTTCTCGAGAAGGTTGTGAAAAAGTGTCTGCTGTCATTCTTTGAATCTATGGACCTATTGACGCCAGTGCAACACGGCTTTATGAAAGAGTGATTCTGCATCACCAACTTGATGTACGCAAACCACCAGTGGGTACGAGCTGTCAATGAACAGAAGGATGTTGACGTGGTGTACATCGACTTTAGTAAGGCGTTTGACAAAGTGAACCGTGAAGTATTCCTTTGTAAACTGAGGACATACGGAATCGGTGGCAGGTTACTTCAGTGGTTACACGAGTTTATTGTGGGTTGAAACTTTAGAGTGCAGGTCAATGACTACCTGACAGACTGGTTCCCATCAACCAGTGGCGTGCCTCAAGGAACTGTACTTGGGCCAGTATTACTTATTATTCATATCAACGATCTTCCGCAGCAGCTCCAGTCACCATGTGCCCTGTTTGTAGATGATTTGAAAATCTGGGGGATCATTGAGAACCGAGAAGACTGCGCTCACCTCCAGCATGAATTAGAGCGACAGTCTACGTGGTCTACTGAAATGCAACTCCCTCTTAACACAAGCAAGTCGGAGTTCATCAGTATCACCAGATGTCCAGCCACTCGATCATACACCTTGGACGGCCAGTTGCTCCACCCTAACACATCTGTCTGAGAATTAGGAGTGCTCTAGCGATATGATATAAAATCAACAGAAAATACAGAGAAATTGTGCCGCGCGGGACTTCGTATGCTCTGGGAA